TGGCAGAAGGCAGTGGGAAGGCTATGCCACACATTCACCTCACTGATGGGGTTTTGCAGGAGAATTGTTCCTTTTGACTACTTCAACAATTAAGGCCTAGTGAAGGAATCCAGGATTAGTTCTGTTTTCTACTTAGAAGTTGCATTCGAGTTCTACACTTTTCCTTGCTGCTTCCATGTTCTTCCCTTTCCTGCATTGTATGGATTTCCTCTGAGCTAACTCTTAGTTAACTGAAGATTTGCACACGTGGTGGGTCTGGAGGTGTTTGTTCAAACTGGGAAACAGGAGCTGCATGAGCAGTTGCTTATCTGGAGTCTCAGCTCTAAAAATTCCTATCAAATTTCTTAGTAGATTTATCTGTATTTTTTAATAACATTTTTTAGGTTGTTTTAGTAATCAAACCACAAAAGGGTTACCAAAACCTGTGAGCAGCAAACTGCTCAGTCACTAGAGCACATCAAACTCCCTTGTGGTGTTTTCCTGGCTGTGTTTTAACTGATCCACCTGTGGTCTTTAAGGCCTGGATTCATGGCCTTGGGTTTCAGCATTGGGTTCAGGTGGACACAATTTCAGCCTTTTCTTCTTTGCTGTAATTTCTTTTTTAGCCCGTGTGTAATAACTCTGTGCCTTTCAAATGGTTCTCTGTGCTCTAGGGAGCACTGGGGAGTGAGCTCTGACTTCTTCCTGAATCGTTTACCTGTAGTGAAAACAGATGCACTGCAGGAAGTGCAAATTTACATTCAGCTTCTCAGCACAAACACCAGAGAGTTTAACCTGGAAATACAGGGAACAGGATGGAGTTTTCACTCTGCCTTCAGGTGCTCACTGACACCACTGGCTGCTTGGGAGCTGCTCCAGGCTGAACTGAGCATGTTTTAGCCTTTTCCAGGAGAGCTCCAAGTGCTGCAGTTCACTGGGGATTTGATAAAAACATTAATGAGTGTTCACCATTTGTACAGTGAACTGTATTTGACTTAAAACTACTAGTTGGCTGCTGTTTGTTTTTAAGCAATAGTTAAGTAAGGATGGAAAGCTGAGGCTTCACTTCAACTGTTGGGATTTTAACCCAAACCTTGCCTCTGGCTGCCAACAGACACTGCTGAGGCTCTGCCAAGTGCTGCCAGACTGCATGGCATGCTCAGAGCTATGATGCTGATACATTCCTTAAGCCTAAGACCCCAATCCCAATATTGCTGTATTGATCCAGCCCATGTACAGCTCATGGGGTGGATTGTCCTGGTGAGTTGCAGCAGGAACCAGCCACACTGCAGGGCTCTGGACCTGGGGGAACACTTCCTGGAATGTGTTCCTGAGTGTTCTGTCATCTTTTAGGGTTCCAAAGGCAAATCCCATCCATCCCACTGGTCAGGTTTGGAAGTGCTGTTCAGGTGTGTACTGTGACTGTGCTGTCATAGCCATTTCCCACTAAAACTGGCAATTTGCTTTGTGTGGAGCTCTGCGTGGAGGCTGCACTTGGCACTTCAGCCTCAAATCCTAGGGTTGGATGTCCACTGCCATTTCCCACTCACCTTCTCTCTTTTATTTTCCTTTTAAAAACTAACATTTTTCTAATACAGTTCTAATTTTCTACACTACAGGAATTTATAAAACACCTTTATACCACTGACTGAAACATTTATTACTTACAATGCATTATATGTTTGCATAAATTTGCATACCAATAAAGCCTGTTCTTACACTGGGACTGGCTAGCTCCTCCATTTCTTCCTGCAGACCTTCCCTGTCCCATCACAGGAGGAAGAGGAGAGAGAGCAGTGAGCTGCCTCCATGGCAGAGGTGCTCCAGCCCTTGGAGGATCTCCATGGCCTCCTCTGGATTCACTCCAACAGGTCCAAGTCCTTCCTGGGGGCCCAGGACTGCAGGCTGCACTGCAGTGGGTCTCACCTGGGCAGAGGGGCACAATCTCCCCCTCACCTGCTGCTGGGGATCAGCCCAGCACAAGGGGGTTCTGAGTGCACATGGCCAAGGTGTGTTGAGCCTCTCACCCAAGTCCTTCCACTCCTCAAACCCAGCTCTCTCCCATGGGTGATCCTGTCAAAGGCCAGAGAAGTCATCCATATCCATAGCTCTTCCCTTGTCCTCTGATGTCTCACTGCACTGTAGGCCACTGGGTTGGTCAGGTAGGACTGGACCTTGGTGACACTGTGCTGGGTGTCCCCAGTGCCCGCTCTGTCCTCTATGGGCCTTGGCACAGCCTCCAGGAGGATCTGTTCCATGCTGATGGGAGCCTGACAGGTTGGTGGTTCTAGGATCCTCCTGTTTCCCCAGCATGGGCTGAATGTTATCTTTGCCCCCCTCAATTGTTCCATGACACTCTCTAATTAAAAAAGGGACTTTATTTTGGTTGGTTTCTATTAACAAGATAAAACTTTTACAAAATTTGATCCAAATTTACAAAAGTAAACCCCAAAATCTCCAATACAAAAATAGATGAGACAAAACCAAAGAGCACCAATGGGGAGGGAAGTTGGTTCCACCTTATTTTGCGTCTGTGGCACGATCAAGAGCAGCGAGTTCTGCCAGGCCCTTGGCAGAGATGGTTTTGGGGTTGGTGGCTACACTTTTGCTGGTGTTCTGGGTCTTGTAAATCCCAATTAACCTGTCTGCAATCTCAAACATGTTGTTTCGCAGGGAGATGACGATGAATTGGGCATTTTTTGTTTGTTCCTGAAACAGAAGAAAGTTTGTGTTAGTCCTCAGCACAAATGCCTCCCCATAACTCTTGGTTAGGAGCTGCAGTGACAGGACAAGGAGGAATGGGGAGAAACTGAAAGAGGGAAATTTAGGTTAGATATCAGGAAGAAGTTTTCCCTGTGAGGGTGGTGAGACACTGGCACAGGTTGCCCAGGGAGGCTGTGGCTGCCCCAACCCTGGCAGTGTTCACAGCCAGGTTGGATGAAGCCTTGAGCAACCTGTTCTGGTGGGAGGTGTCCCTGCCCAGGGCAGAGGGTTGGGGCTGGATGATCTCTAAGCTCCATTCTAACCCCTCAACATACTATGAAATTTGCTTCCACTTAAAACTCTCATTCCAGATCTTAACTCTGGCCATAACTGTTGCCACTCGGTCTGTTCTGGTGGACAGTGAAGTATCTTAGACAAACGATGTTGCAGCTGTTCCCATTCCATACTTACATAGATGTAAAATGCCACAATGGAGACGTTTTTGAAGTCAAGTGCTGCGTCGATCTCGTCCATGAAGTACAGAGGAGTTGGCTTGTAGTGATGAAGGGCAAACACCAGGGCTAAGGAGCTCAGGGTCTTCTCTCCTCCTGACAAGTTGAAGATCTTCTTCCAGCTTTTCTTGGGAGGCCTCACGCTGGAACCAAGAGTTTGTGGGTTATTTATGTCAGCCTGAGGTCACCTTGTTGGAGCTTCAGCTGTAACACTTCACACTGCCAGTAATTAGTGCTATTCAACCCTTAAGTCATTAATATACTCCTAGGAATATTTATGACAGAACACAAGGTGACTGCCATGGTTCCCTAGGCAGAATGAAGGGATTTGGGAATTTAGCAGCGCTGGGAAATGAGTTAGAAGCTTTCCAACTGCTGTTAGCTCCTGATTTCTCCAGGAGAAATGGATCTCAGAGCTACAAGTTGTGGTTTCTGTCCTTGCCAATACTGAGCCTGTCTTGGTTTGCTGATGATCAATGAAAACTAACTTTAAAACAGGTTGAAAAAAAGGTTATGACAATCAAGAATGAATAGAATCCGAAGTATTTTGACAAACCTAAACATGATTCCCTCAGAGAAGGGATCCAGACTGTCCACAAGCTCCAGCTCAGCATCCCCTCCCAAGGTGAGCATCTGGTAGTTCTCCTTCAGCTTATTTGTGATGACATTAAATCCTGCCATGAATTCGTTCAGCCTTTGTTTCCTGACATTTTCAAAGGCTTGTCTGAAGTTGTCTCTCTCACTGGTGATGTTGTCCAGCTCAGCCACATGTTTCAGGTACAGCTCTTCCTGCAGGTAAACACAACACAAGTGCAGTCAGAGCACTTCCTCCTCAGTTTCCATTTTAAACCCCTTTTCCCCAGCACAGCTAACAGCCCTGATAATTTGGGGTTTTTCTCTCTCTTGTCTCATCTCTTCTATTGAAGGAAAACCCATGTTAAATAATATTTCATCTGTTGACTAGTTCAATATGATTGAAGTGAGGAGAAAATACTCCCAGTATTGTCTTGGTGTCTCCACTGGAAGACTTGACTCTAAATAAACACTCACAGGAGAATCACAGAATCATTCAGGTTGGAAAAGACCTTCAAGATCATCAAGGAAGTTGCACCTGACACTGATGGTATGGAACACAAAAGGCCTACGGAAGCTCCTGAAAACAACTTTCACCCTTGGCTAAGGATGAAAGCTGAGAAACATTCAGCTGTTAATAGGGTTCCACTGCAGTTTCCAAAAGGAAGAGGAACAGGATCCCCTTTTGCTGGGCTGTTTTCCTCCATCACCTAAGGAGGGAGCAGTACCATGCCCCCTCCTCCCACCTGGCCCTTCCCCAGCCTTACCTGCTTCCTGAACTCAGCGATGGCTCCCAGGTTGGGTTTCATCGTGTGCTGCTGTGCCTCCAGCAGAGCAATCCTCTTGGTGATCACATCTGGGTCCTTGAGAGCCTCCAGCTCTTCCTCACTCAGGACTGGCAGTTCCTCAGGGGGTTTGTCGTCTATGGCGTGCAGGGCTAATCTGGAGATCTGGAATGCAGAATTACTAGAAAGCTTTACAAATCCCATTAGTTATCACAGGAACATGTTTAGAAACTAAGTGTTTCTGTACGGAGTGAAGTTTCCAATCTCCAAACATTCACACGTTCTTCTCTTAATTCCCTTTAAAACAGGGTGTGAAAAAGACAATAAGCATCATCTTATGCCATTATCCTGTTCCTGCACAAACACCAATAAACCATGAGCTGCATGGGAATTTTCTCCCAAATTATCTCTTTTCTAATAAGATGTTAATGTATTTATCCTCTGAGATGTTGTTGCAGCCTTGCCCCATCCCTGGGAGTGTCCAAGGCCAGGCTGGACAGGGCTTGGAGCAACCTGCTCTAGTGGAAGGTGTCCCTGCCCATAAAACGAGATGAGCTCTAAGTTCCAACCCATTCCATGATTCAAGTTTTAGGAACTAAACCATTTCCTTACCTCTTTCTGCCAGTATTTAACCTTTGACTTGTGTGTAGAAATGTGATTGTCAATCTGTTCAATTTTCAGTTTGATGCTCAGAGCTTCACTCTGCAGTGAGTGTTCATCTTCTTTAATAGCCTCAATCTCCTGCAGTAAACTCTTCTGCTCCTCCTGCACTGCTGGCAATGCCTCCTGGATGGAAATGACCACAAAAATGCATTCATCAGTTACCTACAAAAATGTTAGCCCTTTCCTGGGTTTGTGTTCACTGTATTTATTCACAAATGCACATTCTTGGATTTATAACCTGATCCCTCAATTCTGGAATGACTGAAATATGCTGCAGTTATATTTTCTTTCCGGATCTGGATCAAAAAGGTCCTACACTCACATGGCTTTGGCTAAAAAGACGTTTTAGACAAAGAGTGTCTCAAAAACAGCTTTATTTGGAAGAATTTCAGAGCCATTCTGGTTGTTTTCACTATCTCATGCACAGAAATTTAGTGGGAAACTAAAGTTCCATAACTGGAAAAAAAAATCTATTTTTAAGCAAGTGTTAACCCCAATAATTTTATGTGGGGAAAACCTGGTTTAAGTTCTTTCTTTCAGCAAGTAGGGTCAAGATATATCTTCAGGTAAGTATAAAGAATAAAAATCCACCATTGCCATTCCTTGGAATGTCACTGTGCAGCTGTACAACAACATAGCCATGAGAATAGGATCTAACAGGGATACAATGAGGATATAACTGGGATATGAGGATAGAAGTCATCACTTACTTCTGCCTGCTTGCAGTCATTCATCACCTCTGTGGCTTTGTCCTCTAGGGCAGTCAGCTCTGCTGTCAAGGCTTTCATTTCCTTCTCATTATCTTCCACCTCCTTCTCTGTGTGCTGAAGAGCCTCCTGGGATTTCTTCAGGTTTCTGCACAGGCACAGAGATGTTTGTGCACCTCACACAAGGGCAAATGTGACATAAAGTAATCTACAAACTCAATTTACTGACAGCCAAGGAGGAAGTGCTTGTTCAGGCAGGAACTCCACACTCCTAAGGTATCCAAGGAAAACAAAGTTGTCTTCCTTAACCACAAAGCAGTCAGCCCTCATGAAATGACTTCATTTCTTATTTCAGAAACAGTTTGGACATTTGTTCTAAGTATTCATTATGGATTGGTAAGCTAACATCAAAATAGATCACATTTTAGTTCCTGATGTGCCTCATAATGAAATCAAACCTTTCAAGTTTGACCTGCCCCAGTGCATGGCAATCCAGTGCTACGTTGGATCTTTATCCTGAAATGTGGCAGTTTAGTGCCAGAGAGATCCTGAATAAATGTGACTTTGTTAGGAACTCAAGTGACAGAGGAAATCTAGATTAGATATCAGAAAGAAGTTTTTTCCTGTGAGGGTGATGCACTGGCACAAGTTGTCCAGGGAGGCCGTGGCTGCCCCAACCCTGGCAGTGTTCAGAGTCAGGTTGGATGAAGCCTTGAGCAACCTGTTCTGGTGGGAGGTGTCCCTGCCCAGGGCAGTGGATTGTGACTAGATGATCTCTAAGCTCCATTCCAACCCCTTAACATACTGTGAGTCTATGACTTTATCAGAACCTATAAAAGTGCATTTCCCTTTACCTCCTAGACACAAACACCATGAGACACCTCGGTGTAGTGAGAGCCTAAAGCCTCCATCCCTGTGTGCTGTACCTCTCTGCAGTCTTGGCTGCCACCTGGGCTTTGGTGATGGCTGAGGAATATTCATCTATTTCTTTGTCAATCTCATCAACTCTGTCCTGCTGTTCCTTCAGTCTGCGACTGTTGGTGTCCACGATGAGGTTGTGCAGTCGCTTCACCTCCTTCTCCATCTGAGCAGCAATCGCGGCCAAGCGGTCGTGCTCTGGCAAGGACAAAAGGGAGCTGAGGTCACTGTGTCACCTCATGGACCAATGCTGTGGCACCAGGAGCTGCTGCCACACACCAAGATTTCATCTAAGTGATTTAAGACGTAAGCTCTGCTTTATCGCTACACTGAGAAGTGAAGATGTTTCTTTATACTGGGAAAATGATGAGTTTTTGGCACAAAACCCCCAAAGCTGACCCACTTCTTTCTGACACTGTCCCACCAGCAATGCTTCTCTGGTGTAAACCACTGACCATTTCAGCTCATGTATACAGAGTACCTTTATACATGAGATAGCTTCTTGTGCACTATTCAAAGCCATTCTTTGCATTTTTTTGAATGGGAAGATGCTCAAAGGTTATATTTTAAGAACTGGCTGCTAACTGGGACCGAGACTAAACATTCAGTTGGTGTTACTGTGCACTTGCCACACCTGCTGAATCTAACTGCACAACAAGCCTGTGTGCCCACAGCAGAACACAGGGGATTTATTTTTGTCAAAAGAGTCTAGTCAGAGCACAGCAAAAGCTTTCATTTAACTTTAAATCATTATCTCCTCATTAACAATTCTTACCTCTAATTAAACTAAGTTTCTGTATGAATCTGTGTGTAACAGCCCCAAAAATCTAACCAAAGAAACAAAATGCTAAAATTAATGCTTGCTTTAGCTTGACTGAAACATGAACTTGAGAAACTGGAAAATAAGAGGTTTTACTCTCTAATCTCTAGAAACACCTTTCATCCCCCTCAGAAGAAATGAGGGCCCAAAGACAATGTACTGGAGCACAAAGCCAAACCCATTCCTTTCTCCATTAGTAAAACACAACTGCAACTTTTCCCTCTAACTTCCTCTCCACAAAATGTACCTTTTTTATAGTCATCGAGGATTTTCTCCAGCTTCTTCTGTTCGGCTTTGTCTGGAGTAACAGCAACGACGTTAGCTTCGAGTTCCTTGACTTGTCCTTTTAGATAAACTTCTTGTTCAGAAAAACTCTGCAGAGAGCACAGCTGGGTTAGAATCTTGTGCTTTAAGAGCTCCTTGACAGCACTGAGGGGCTGTCCCTGCACACAGAGAGGACATGTCCCAGCAGAGGTCAGATATGGCTTAGGACTCACCTTGATACTTGCTGTGTACTTCTCAGAGGTATTTCTCATCTCCCTAATGTCATGCTCCAGTCTCCTTATGTCGTCTTCAAGTTGTAACTTGTCTTCTTCACACTGCAGAGCTTTCTTGGAATCCTGCTGCAACTTGGATTCCATCTTTCTGATCTGCACAAGAGGAGGTGATCATTTACCTCGAGTCACCACTACAAACCAGGGCAAAGCCTCATTCGTGTGCTCCACAGTCTGAGAGCTCTTAAATCACAAGGGGGAAGTGGAGTATGTGACAATTTGCTGTGGCTGGAGAGAACATGGACCTGAGTGCTGAGAGCATCAACTCTAACAATGAAACACAAGAGGAGCAACTGCAGATTAAAACCTAAAAGAATGCAAAGGATAAAAGCAAACTGATATGTCAAAATATTATTGAAATACAAACTGGAAGGAAAGTTCTGACACTCCTTGACAACCCTTGCATGGACGTAAGTGAAGGCCCAACCTGTCTTTTCTCACTGCTGAGGTGTGTGCACTGCTCTGCAGGTAATGGTTCCTTATGATCCACATCTTCCATGTTCTCATCCCTACCTTCAAGCAGTTTCAAAGCTACCAAAGGCAGCACTAGGAGACTAAACATTAATTAATGGCATATCATAGCTATGCTGTGAGCAAATGCACTTAGGAGCAATATAAACTATGCTAACATTGGGAATTTTGGCTTTATAAACCATTGTTAATGCATCTCATATCACAGATTGGTCCCTGCCCAGATTGGAGTGATGAGACAGGGGGAATGGCCTCATGTGGATGGAGAGGAGGCTTAGATGGGATATTAGTGAGAAAGTCTTGGCTGTGAGGGTGATGAGGCACTGGCACAGGTTGCCCAGAGCAGCTGTGGCTGCCCCATCCCTGGAAGTGTTCCAGACCAGGTTGGATAGGGCTTGGAGCAACCTCGGCTGGTGGAAGGTGTCTGTGCTCGTGGTAGGGGTGGAATAAGATAAGCTTTGAGTTCCCTCCCAACCCAAACTGGACTGTGATTCCATGCTTTAAAAGGCCATAGCACATGTGTGTATAAACTGCCAAACCACAAGGAACTCTAATGAAATTCCACTTTTCATTAAGATCATGTACTAACCTCTTCTTCTGAGATATCCATCACAACTGAGGATCCCATTCTGCCCTTCATGACTTTCGCCCCACCACCAGTCATGGTTCCTGCAGAAAAACAGATGACAGGAGGTCAGGAAGCTTGCTGGGCTACAAAGTGCTTCAAACAGAACTGCAAGTCTGTGCTACAGTACCTGACATCTCAATGAGTTCTCCTTTCAGAGTGACCACTCTCCATCTTTTATCCTTTTGGAATGCCACTCTGGTAGCTTCGTCCAAGTCCTTAGCCACCAGAGTGTCCTTTAGGGCGAAGTAGAAAGCCCGACGGACCTCCTGGTCCTTCACCTGCACCAGGTCAAACAGCCGAGGGACGTTGTCAGGAGTTTGGATCTTTTCCATCTTCTTTTCCCAGTGACTCATCTACATCCCCAAAGGAAATAACTGAGTCAGAGATTCTCTAGGATAAACATTGTCATTCCATTATTCTGTGGTATGTTAAGCTTTAAAGCAAATGCAATTGAACTGCAATAGACAGTGAAACAATTTGGTTGCCCAAGTGCTGGGACTCACCTTGTCCAGGGCTATAAATGCGGCAGCTCCAATTCCACTTGCCCTCAGGAAGTTCACACATGCCTGAGCAGTGTCAATGGTGTCTACAACAATGTGGTCCAGAGATCCACAGGACGAGGAAATGGCCACGTCGTACTTGTCACTGATGGCTCCCAAGTCTCCCTGAAGATAGAGAAGGTGGAATTGACTAACTTGGCATCTGTGGCTGCTGTTTGGATTTAATCTTTTTTAAATACATCCATGCACGTGTTCTGTGAAATACACATCCACCGAACAAACTGATTTTTCTGATGCGCAGATTGAAAGCTCCCTGGATGAGCAGGTGGGAAAGCACTGCACAATACAATGGCACTTTTACATTTACACTGATGTGCAACAGGAATGGAGGACTCTACCTCAGCCCCAAATTTTCAGAGCTTTAAAGCAACACTGCTTGGAAAGAACTGGTAAGTTTTTTAATTTACAGGAAATCCACAGGATTTGCAGCTCTGCTCTCCAGATTCCTGACACCAGAGAAGTGAGGCTCTATGAGGCATTCCATGTGTGCTCAGTCATAGAAATGCCACTCTGTTCCTCTAAAGCTTAAGACTAAGAGTATAAGAGTCTCCTAAAACTTACCAGTCTTCCATACAGGCCAGGGATATTCCCAGATCTCTTCTGCTGGAGCAGAGCCTCAAGCACTTTTCCTCGACTACGACTTTGTGATAAAGAACTTCTGGCTTCTTCTACTTTGTAGCGCAGGTCTCGCACCACACCCTTGACACCCGACTCTTCTCTCTTCAGTTTCTCCAGTGCATTCTCTTTCTGGAGGTTAAAGAAAGACATTGCACTCCTGTATTCAGAGAGTCTTTGACACATCATTGCTTTTCTTTGGGGAATTAGAGGAACAAGAAATGAAATACAAAGAATCCCAGAATGGTTTGGCTTGGAAGACGCTTCAAGCCCATCGAGTTCCACCCTGTGCCATGGTCAGGGACCCTTTCCACTAGCCCAGGTTGCTCCAAGCCCCATCCAACCTGGCCTGAACACTTCCAGGGATGGGGAGTCCACAATCTCTCTGGGCAACCTGTGCCAGTGCCTAAGGAAGGCTCAGAAACGTTCCCATGGGTTTATTTTACCATGTCTCACCATGATATTTAACCTGATTCCCTTGCAGGGATATGTAGGATGTAAGTTCAGTGCTTAATGTTAACATTGGCTTAACCTAAAGTAAGTTTGAACTAAATACTTCACAGTTAACTGACTGTTAGAATATAGTTTTTAAATGTTGTTTTCTTGGGTGTTCTTTAGTTTGTTTTCACCATGATCATTGCTAAAAAGCAGAGCTGGACTTTGGTTTGTGTACTGGAACTCACAGCAATTAAACAGGAAAGCCAAGTCTCACCTCCTTCAGCTGCTGTTCAGCCTGGGGCAGTTTTACAGATATATCTTTGATTGCAGCTTTCCTTTCCTTCAGAGTCTCTGAGGTGCTCAGCAGAGCCTCTTTGCCCTCGTTGAGCTGAGCCACAGCAGTGTTGTAGCGGCTGAGGTAGATCTCCAGCTCCGACTGGGCTATATCCCTCTTGGAACGAGCATCAGTCACTTCCTTACTGAACTCCATCAGCTCTTTCTCTTTGCCCTGCAGAAACACACAAGGTTACAGCTCAGACCAGGCAGCTGTGGGGTTTGTTACATCAGCCACACTGCAGGAACGGAGAAGAGAAAATAGGATGTTAATTACAGCTCTCCTGTCAGCACAAGACAGTTATGTCCTCTAGAAGAATCACTATCTCTTCATTTATTAACATATTCTGGGGGGACAATTAAATAAGGCATTTTTTTTAATTATAAAGAAGTTCAGGGATTCATAATAGATCATTTCCATACAAGCTTTGTATTGCTTGCTCAACTAAAAGCTGGGAGGAGCCTTACACCCTGAGCTACATTACAGCTCAAATGGAGAATCCAAGTTTTCAAGGACAGAAAATAATTCCCCAAATTTACAGGAAAAATGTCCATCTTCATGTGTTTAGTGACTGAACAGCATCAACAACAATGGTCAGGGCTTAGAGTAGTTGTCTGTTCATTCAAAGGCTGTGGGAAAGGCTTGGAACATCCCATTTCAAAATAGCCTTATTTATTTAAGCAACATACTGGCTTAAATGGTTTGGGGGCAGGAACTGGAAGTGTATTCAGGTAGGATTATATTTAATACACATGTATGAATTATGTATTTATTAGGCTATATGAATGATAATATTTAATACACATATATGAATTATATACTTGATGACATTTGATCACTATGAAGAGCAGACAAGAAAGATTTATCTCTGCTTATAAATTCAAACTGAATTTTCCAGTTAGGCTCCACTGAACCAACAGATTTAACAGTGCAACTGCCATATAAAATGGCATTTTCTAAGTGCTCATGATTGTTTCCTTCAGAAGTGTAATGGTAATACAGCAAGTGCACTAAGTCAGAACACTTCAAACCTCTTTTTCCTCTTGAATTCCCTTTGTCTCTTCCTGAAGACTGGCCAAAACATCCTTGAGTTTTCCTTCTTCTTTCTCCTTGGCCTTTTCCAGCACTTCCCTCTTGGCTGTGGCTTCAGCAACAGCATTTGTGTGGGTGGAAGGGACATTCTTCAGCTCCTCTACCTATATCAGGAGAAGACTTATAACTTCCTCTCGCACTGAAACCAACTCAGTTCTTACATACCCACTTGGATGAGGCCACTCTTGACCCAAAGAGTCATCTCAGATACAACAACCAACTGGACACTGTAGATCCATTCAATTAACTCAATTAAGGGAGGTAATGCATTGCTGCAGTAAGATATTTGCAAACTAAGGCTTTGGCTGCTTTAAATGACTTAAAATATCTGATTAAAAAAACCTACAACTTCTTTTTCCAATTTCTTTCTTGCACAAAGTGCAATTGGTCCTCCGCTCTTTCCTCCCAAGTGCAAAAAGATGTTCTCACAACCCATTACACCTCTCCAGCTACTCAAGTTGTGGCTCACACTACCTTCTCCTTGTCCTTTTGGAGCTGCTTCTCCAGTTTTTTAGCCTTGCTTTTGGTGTGTTTTAGATTTTCTCTTACTTTCACATCCTGCAAATCCAACTGACTAAATACTTCTTTCTTTTCCTCTATGAGCTTTGTTATTTTATTGAATTTCCTGAAGGAAAAAGAAGAAAAAATATCCATTTCATACAGTATAAAATAGTGGAGTTTGGCTTAGTAAGTAAAGATGCAGAATTTAAGGCCATATTTACTCAGTTTTCATGAATAACAACATCCAATATCTACTATATTCATATTATTTTCCCTGGGAAAGTGATGTTTCATCAGAAAAAAAATCAACTATCAGAGCAATATTAAAAACATTTTCAGAAATTTTCAGTTTTCTCTTTGCTAGAGTTGATAATTCTCATCTCTCACCATGAACTCACTATGATCTCAAGAGGATGAGCAGGTCAATATTGCAGTTGGATTGAGGATCTGCACCCAGAGAAAGCAATTTTAGGGAAACACAATTTATGCCAAAATAATTCATTAGGAAACCAGAGAAAAATACCTAAATCCATGTCCCTAAGCATTAAGGTTGCACATCTAATACCCTGAAACAACCAACAATTTTTTGTCCAGTCAATATAAGAAAAAAATCTAATTTAAACTCCATTAAAAATATCAGACATTTCCTTATTGGAATTATGACTGTTACCCAGATTTCTCTGCAAGAGAAGTTACTTGCAGATCCAAATCAAACCAATGAGACTTTATTGTTGTGCGAAAGATCATTTAACCCATTCCAGGGAATGCTTAGTGACTGCTCATCATTTGATAGGAAAACACATACAATACAGCACTCTCAGCTCAGGAAACATCCCTAAAGAACTTACTTTTCAAGTTCTTTCAAAGCTTTAGTCTTGGTTTTTGTGTCCTCTGCAAGTTTACTGCTTTTCTCATTAATAATTTTTGTTTCTTCATTGACTTTTTCTTTCTGCACTTCCAGGTCTTTTATTCGTTTCTTTAGGTCATGGCTAGGAAAAAACAGCAACAAAACCCCAAACTTCACTTTTTTCCATGAAGCTGACGATCCTAAGGAATATCTAGTTCCAATCTTAGTGTGACAATGTGATTACATAAAATACTAAACTAGAATATTAAGTAATGCAAATATCACTAATTAGAGACACTGAAGCAGTTTACCACCAGCTCAACCACACCAAAGCCACCCCAAAGCTTTAGAAAATGACTTACATGTAGTACTGATAGATGTGATTCTTCTCTTTAAATATCTGGTTTTCCAAACAAAGAAACTCAATGGCTTTATTCTTGTCCTCTTCCAAGGCATCTTTTTCTTTTTCCACAATTTTAACTCGATTTAACTAGAAAAACAGAACCAGAGCTGAGTCAGAGCCAGGACTACAGCAAACCATGAGGAAGAACCACCCAACCCTTTGTAGGACACATGTGCTCTGGAGAGAAGGTGATCAGGAATGAACTCTGCAAGGGAACTGAGCACAAGAAGCTTTCTGAAATAACAGAGATATTATTTTCTCTATGTCAACCTTCTGACTGACCTCATTTAAATTAATTTCTACAACTACACATCTTGTTCTCCTTCCCAGCCTTTAAACCAAGCCTGCCACAGGATTTACTAAGGACACAACAAGTGAAAAGAGCTTTGATATTATTTAGGACTCATTTAGTACTTTTAGAACTCAATACATCAATGAAATGTCACAAAAGCAAGTTCTGAGTAGATCTCCACAACTAATCCTGTGCTGTGTTTTTCCTTCTCCTCATGCAGCTGTGTGTGCATCCCCTCGTGCTCTGCCTCCCTCTGAGTTTTGAGTTAAAATCCCATAAAAATTCCCTTAGATATTATTTGGAATCCCACCAGAGCTCCTGAGCCTCACCTTTTCCCCTCTCTGCTCATTCAGGATCTCTACTCTGCGGCACAGAGTTTGGATTGGCTCTTTCAGTCGTGCAGATCCGATTATGTCTTCCAAATATTCCAACATGCCTTCATCGTGCTCTGTCTGCCCTTTGGGCTTCATCATGGAAATCTGCTCCACTTCCCCCTTGGAAAAGAAAGGTTGGA